CCCCAAAACCCCAAAACCCCAAAACCCCATCAATCATAATATTAAAAAATAATGAGAGTAATTTTAAAGACAAATAATTAAGTATATTTTAATGACTAATTCCCTCTTCCCACTCTGACCTTAACTATATTATAGATTCAACTTTATGACTCTCTAAAGATAAAATTTCTCTTCTTTTTCTTCATAACTTGTTCAGCATTTTTTTATAATTCTAATTTTTAAAACTCTATCATTGCTCTTTCTTTCAAGCTTTTTCTCGTACTTTCAAGAGTATTAACTCCGTATAACATTTGCTACTTTTGATAGAAGTTTTAACTTTTCCCTTCTGTATTACTTTTCTTGATATCTTAATTGAGACATTTGTTATTTAGAACTTAGAGGCTACTAGAAACATCACACTTGATTGAATCAAAATCTCTTGAGTTTACGTTTTCAAGTTATCCCAGAGTATTAATTCTTGTACTCTCACCAGTACTCAGCATTTGAAGATCTTTATTAAGACTGCCTAATTTCGTTCTTGCAGTTCTTGATGTCTAACTCGAATAAAGCCTCTTATTTTTCACTATTATTGCTTCTTATTTAAAAGGAGTTCCAAATAATGAAGTCGGATTGGTCATTACTTAAATTTATTCTATAGCTTCTTGCCTTTAGGCCTAATCGAATTAATGCGACTGTGATATATTGGAGTTCCACCTTTGCTGGTCCATGATCTGGAAGAATTTTGACTTACTAGAATTTCTCATTGCAATTTTTTCTGCTTTTATTGGGTCAAAGCTCTTTATGTTATCATGTACTCAGTAGCTGTTACTAATGAGATTTTAGGGAAAGAAATTCTTGGAAGTTTAATTATGAATCAACTAATTTAGAACCTAATCATGTCTTTTAATGCTATTTCTTAGTTGTGATTCTCCATGAACCTTTCTTTGAGTATGATGTTTCGGAATTTCTAAGATCTCATCTAAATACTCATGCTCATTTTGTCTACTTTTATCATTGAATGATTAGAACAGTTATAACTTTGCCATCTAACTTGGATCTTAATCAGATGAATCATTAAATGATCTTTTTCTAGACTGAGCCTCACTTTACTAGTAGCTAAGTTACATCTCTTGCTTGAACGACATTTTCACTGAATTGTTATTTATGACGCTTTATATTTTAGTAAACTGTAATATCACATTTGGATCAGGTTAATTTTTTACATTGATATTAACTCTTTTTGTGCTAGAAATGTTTCACAAAGTCTTTTTTCTAGACTCTATTTCTTTAGGTGTTAGAACTTTTTGCATAAATTTTATTTTATTAAGAAACTTATTGTATTCCTTGCATCTCTTTGAACAAATAATATCTGAAAGTCTATTCCACTGTATAGTCATATTTTTCCTTTTATTTCGATTAAAGGACATATAGAACCGTTCATTTGGATTATCTAACATCTTTTTTGGATTGTAGATTATTTCATCATCCTCACTTGAGTCCTATTAGAATTTCACCTGATTTTCAATTCTTTTAACTTTCTCTTCTTGTAATTGATACGAGACACTGCGTGAGGGTACTGCATTAATTACTACAGTGGGAGTATTCATAGTAGTTTTATTATTGCCTGCACTAGGTGAATTATTACCAGATTGAACTAGAGGTATAGGATTGTATTTTACGTATTTAGACCTTTTTTCATTTTTATTACTGCCATCAAAGTACTTGTTAATTTTCCTTTTTAATGATGATTTCATTACAAATAGTCTCCTATTGGATAGCATGTCATCTTCAAATTTAGACTGAGGCTTTTCAAGTTCATTTATTATATAAGAAGCCTATGCCTACATCATTTTGTTCATCTATACTTGTCAAAAAATAGTTACTATTATTAAATTTATTAAATTAATAATTAAATTTTAATTAAAAATTCCTCAAAAAGTTATATTATCATCCTATCCTCAATGGCTTTTAACTGCATCTATAATAAACTAATGAATTTTAGTACAAGCACTTTAGGCGACACTAGCCATAATCTCTATTTCACTTAATTCTAAAGGCTGTATCTTACCCAACCCTTTCAAACTTGTAGAAATAAATTCATTGGTATTCACATTCATTACAAAAATTGCCTTATGCGAGTATTGCTATTAGTCTTAGATGAGAGAATTATTTGGGTCAATATATAGCCATTGTGAAATCTCTTTCTTATTTTTTCTTTGGACCCCACTTGATACCATTATACAAAGACCAATAGGTAGACATCTGCACTCAATCTCAGAATTAAACAAAGCTATTGCAGCGCAATTAATCATTGATTACAAAATATCAGAATCAAGCTCAACAATATCATAGTTAAATACTAAAGTAGTTGCTGGGTATTTCTCAAGTAAAATACATGATGTTAGAATTTTTTGCATTTCAAGTTTAAGGTTCCCTATAATAAACTTCATTCTTCTTTCTTTAATACTTTCAGCAGCACCTTTGGTTGCCATTTAAGTCATTTGCTGATGTAATTGCTCTTCAACATCTGGATTTTATGCTAAAATTAGAGAGTCAGAAATAAGGGAGTCTGCAAATTCTAAATTAACTTTAATTGTGCATTATTCAGATGAGAGTGATTAGGTAATATCTTATTACTTTTGCATAGGTCCATGAATAGTGCATGATATCTTAGTAGATCTCTCAGCAGAAAGAACTTCCAAATAGGCTGATCCTGTAGCAGAGGTTTAAAATTATGATCTTTGATAAAAAGCTCGAAATTCCATTGAAAATTAATAATTTCTTAATTATTAAATAGACTTAATAAATCAGGCTTATATTATAATATAATTATAAATTCAAATAGGTCGGATCCTATAGTTCAAAAAAATACATGTTAGGCTTTGGCGGGTACAATGATTATACTTAACTCTTTATAGATTTTTAAACAGTACTTTCTGGAGCGCTTATCGCAGCTAAGGAAGCGCCTCTATCGAGGAGTTGCTCACAAATAAAGACTGCTCAGTCGACAAACTTTTAGAAGATGATGACTGTCTCCAGGAATTCAAAAACCTCAATGATAAACTTATCCAATAGTATGACATCACAGTCTGTTTAATCATATGATTAGTTTTGATCACGAGAAGTTGAAAAGACTAGTTGATTTAGTTACTGTTGTACCAGACGCTAACAGTGGACATTAAAGAGGTCACAAGTAAGTTTTAGCATCAAATTTTCATAGTCATAAAATATCATATTGCTAAATTAAGCTACTCCTGAATCATAATGCAGATTATCTAATTCATTTATAGGTTCCCATTCATTGCCAGTGAAATCTTCAATTGCGAGATCAACTCTCTCTTAGACAAATTCTTTGATGCCCCAGAGTTTAAGAAAAAGGAGGCTTCAGAGCATGAAGAAGAAGATTCGGAAGAAGATAAATCTGTAAGTTAAGAAATTCAAATATTATTAAGAATAATTGACAACTAACAAAGATTATTGATCAAAAAGTATATCTTCAATATTGTAGACTAACGTGAAAGAAGAGACCAAGGATGAGGAGGAAGAAAAGAAAGAGAATGAGGCTGCCCCATCCCAAGAACAAGAGGAGGAAAAGAAATAGCCAGAAGAAGAAGCAGTAGAATAGAAAACTGAGGAAAAGGAATAATCAACTCCAGAAGGTGAATAAAAAGAAGAGTCAGCTGAAACTGCAGTGGCTACAGAGACAACTGATGACAAAGAAATCCCTCCTGAAGAGGAAAAACTTAAGGATGCTGAGTAAGTTGAAGAAACAACATCTGTTGAGGCAAAAGTAGAGGAAGAAATAAAAGAACCAGAGGTTAAAGCTGACGAGACCAAGGAAGCAGAAGTAACTGAGCTTGATAAGGAACAGGAGCAAGAACAAACTCCAACGGCTGGCATAAGTTAGGCATAACCCATTTCTGAACCTGAACCAGAAGAAGAAACTAAGGAAGAGGAGAAAGGAGGCAAATATTTGCTTCTCGAGAGACTATTCAAGTTCATCAGAACCAAAGAGACCCCACTTAACCCAGTTCTTTCTGGATATTTTGCTAAATTGGTGACCATCCTCATCAACAGAAAATAAAAAAATCTCATTCCCTACGTTTTCGCCCCAGAATCTGATGTAATTGACTGCCTTCTACATCATGTCCAATAAAAGTCAATCTCAGAAATTCTAAACAAATTCTTAAACATCCAAGATCACGATTTTGAGAGTACTATCTCAGCTGAAATTAAGAGCAAACAACACCATGTTCTTTAATCACTTGTAGAAAAACTTAGCCCAGAGGCTACTGAGGAGGATAACCTAAACGGTAGTGCTATTCTTACTGATATGCTCGATACCAAGGAATTCTTTAATGTCATTTGCCAGAGAAAACACATTTAAAGATTACTTGACCTTGCATTTACTGAAACTGAAAACCCAACTGCTTCAAGTTAAAATGCTGCTCTCCAAGTCTTGAACTCTCTTATCTAAATTTACCACGAAAAGAGAAAAGATGATCATAGATCATCTAACAACAATGACAACGAAGATGAGGACACCATCATCTAGAATGAGGATGAAGAAGGCCAAGAATCCCCATTAGTTGAGATTCTTTCCCAATCTGTCTCTAAACTTATTGCATATCTTTCATCACCAGCTGCAGCCCCTAGATAAGAAATTGATTCATCTTATGACATCAAACTCGCCCCACTTGGCCATCTTAGACTAAGAATCATTGACCTCATCTATTAATTAGTAAAGTTAAATAAGGCATCTATCCTCAACAGTCTTGCTGAGACTAATGTATTCGCTTAAATCTCAGGATTAGTTGAAAGATACCCATGGAACAATTTCTTACAATTAAAGGTGCAATCCCTCTATGAGGAAATCTTTGAAAATTAAAATGCTGATTTCAGAGGCAAGGTACTCTAAGGAAGTAACCTTGCACAAACCTTGATATCTTTATCAAAGTCAAAGGTATTTGAGCACCCATCAAAGAGAGGTATTCGCCACGGATATATGGCTCTTGTGGTTAAGATCGCCAATCTTATTCAAAAGAACAAGGAAAAGCAAGAGGTATAAAATTACTTGAACAGTCTTCCTTAGCCTGAGGATTGGTAGAAATTTGTTGATGGTGAGCTTAAGAGTTCAAATGATACCAACAGCAAAAATCTTGGTGGTCAACAGCCAAGAACATCTATGGATGATGACGACAACGAGAAAGACTATGAGATGAACATGGAGAAAATTATGGCTAAGTTCACTAACTTCAATGCAAGCATGTCAAATAAGAGCAATAATGAAAATGACGATGAAGAAGATGACGATACCGAAATTGACAGAAAAAATAGTGATGATTAAGATGAAGAAGAAAAGAAGGAAGAGGATTCTAAAGAGTCACAAAATTAGGCTCAAGAATCATCTACTTCTGATAAGCAAAATGTGCAATAGAACGAAGACGCTCCAAAGATTATTCCTTCAGAGTTCAAGGAACCAGAGCCACTCCAAGGTGAATTCGCAGACAACGAATTCTGGAGGCCCATCAATATCCTCGAGGGATAATCTGTCGATGATCTTTTAGCAGATTACGAATGAGCAGTAGTATTATCTACATGATGAGCAATATTATTGAAACTATCATGCTTTACAATAAGTAAGCACAATAAATTCTTATTCGAACTCTCGGAGTTCATAATAAAACACAAATATTTTGATAATTTTCTCTAAATTAGCATACAAATAATTTTCATCTTAGTAATCTTATTAACTATTTCTGCCGTTATCAAATTAATTATATCACGATTTAACCAGTTTATAATTATGTCAATGCTTTCAGATTCAATTATTCATTTCTAAATGGAAACTCTTAGTCCTACCATCAATAATCTGATATACTTCCTCTCTTTAGGATTCTGCGAATCTCCTTTTAACAATCACATCTAAATAAATGTTAAACTTTGTAAATAACTGTATATAATTTCCAAGCATTTCCCTTGATTTTTCATCCTTGTAAAGATTTGCTGGTCTAAGACCTCCAAATAATTCTTCACCATCAGGCTAATCATGGCTGTAGTAATAAAGTTTATAGCAACGATCGGTACCAGCAGTTGAATCATCTTTGACAATCAATGCCATCATATATATAGGCCTGCATTAATCACCACACTAATTACATTTATAGATTTACTAATCAATTGGCAAACTATTGTCAGTTTCTAGTTCTTAAAATGAAAAATTTCGCAAGCATCTTTTGCAATAAAGCTGTGTCATTTCTCTTATGTTTGAGGGCAAAAATCCCAAAGTAAATACTTTCATTCTCATTATATCGTGCTAATTGAAATCATAAGATATTTCAACTGCAGGTTTATGATATAACTCAAAGAGACTCGTATAGGGCATTTCGTTATATTGCTTATTAATTTGAGTTATAACTAGAGGTTGACCCATTGTCAGATTTTTGTCGATGTCAGTATTTAAAATCAATTTTTTCATTAATTCATCCTCAATAACTCTCTCATTCAAAATTAATGCTTACTTATAGTATTAGGGTATATGAATTATATTTGAAGGATGATGCAACTCCAACATAACAGGGATTTAAGAATTTCCCTTCATTACTGCAGGATTATAATTAATATTTATCTTGGCACCTCTCACTCTAATTACTTAGCCTAATTAGGGCAGTCGATGCCGAATTGTTTTAACACTTAACTAGAAAATTATCCCAGCCAAATCTTTTATCCTTATATCAACCTAAATATCATCAATAACTTCAAGAGATATAATTTTAGCTAGGATATCAAAATCTTTGTAATAGGATTATCCATGAGAATCCACATGAATCTAAGTCTATACCTACGTCTCACTAGCGAACACAGGATTACTCTTTAGATAATCATAAGACCATCTTCTAAGGTTATCAATAATCTCCTTTTCAGAGTCATTGAAGCTGTAAGAACTTGAAGAGCATGCAATCGGATAGTATTTAAGGTCATTTTCATCAAGTTCATCATCTAATTGCAACTGTTGTTTGCTTCGCTCATAATAATATTCATCTTCTGGGTTATCAAATATTCGAATAAAGCCATTTGGCATAAGCATGTCGACATCATCATCTTTATTACTCTTTTTATGCTTGTATGAGTGTGTGTATTCTGGCTATCCTTGGAAAATGACCCAGGATGATCTTCCATACAAATTCCCAATCACTTGAAGAGAATTATTATATTCAGTCGAATTCGCCCTATGAACTCTGATTATATCTCCAAGTCTAAAGACTTGTGGCTAATCCTTCTAGTGATTAGCAAAGAAGACTATCACCTAATGATCCATTGCCTTGTTGTTATAAATTCGACTAGACTTTAGATTCAGACTTTAATCTATGACTTTTATCTGACAAATTTGATAGCCTTTAGATTGATAACTAGAACTTGCGTCAATAATGACTCCATATAGGTTGAGTGTTTCTGTTTTTCCTAGAGCTATTTAATTTAGTTTGGTGTAAACATATTTAGTGGCCTAATTAATCGATTAATTGTTAATTTAAATAACATACCTTGTCATCATTGAGATCCCAATGTTTCTTATGTTCAAGCATTATTTTGCGGGTAAATTTATAAATATTAATAGTTAACTCATTGTATTAATAAATTCCAATAATTTTGCCAAACTTTTAATTTTAAAAATTAAAGTTCTAAGGGGTTTTGGGGTTTTGGGG